TGTCAATATCTTATTGTAAAAACAATATGAGATTTAATAAATAAATTTCAAATCACAATCAAAAGATATTTTAAAATATTATTTAATATATAGCATTTATTATTAACTTTACATTTTACATATCATCGTATTTTAATTATTTCAATATTTTTTTTCTGTAACTTTTAATAATTTCAGGGAAATTTCTTTTAATAATTATGGAGAATAACCCATGTTTGATAAAAACGTGTACTTTTTTATCTCATTCGAAAGTATTACACGATTTCTTCGATCTGCAGTTGTGGCGCTACTTTAAAGCCCGAAATATTTACTATACGATAAAACTAGAAAAACTTTAATATATGAAAAAATATGAATATTTTATTTTTTATAGATTATTATCATACAGCATCTCTCAAAATATTTTTAATGTTTATATTTATACAATGTAATTTTTTTTAAAAAATAATTACACCGTGTAAGTTTTACTTGTAGAGACATCTATCACGATTCTCTTATATCAATGTAATATAGGATTTACAAGGACAGATATCAAATAATGAAAATAGATACAAACATATTTAGATACAAATAAATTATTATTTTTATTGTGAAATTTTATACATATATAAAGTTTATGAATAAGTTACTAAAAGTTCAAATAAAACATAAATATATTACATCTTGTTGACTTATAAATACATAATACTGCGCAAAATAAAAATTGTCTTTTTTATATAAATAATATCTTTTATAAATAATCTATGAGTGATCACTTGTCACAGATATTCAACAAATACAATTATTATCGTGACTAATTATCACAAAATGCAATCGATTATCTTAGAAATTGATATCGATTATACATATAATGCCTTTTAGAAGGTACAATTAGTAAAAATACTATTGATCCGAATAAATAAATAATTAATATACCAAATAAATAATTTGCTACACGTAAAAATAAATACTATGCACTACATGTTTAATTGTGAGCCGGTAATAAATAATTGCTTCAATAAATAATTTTGAGAAATTATCACGAATCGTAAAGCGAATTTGTAGTCTTTGCACATTTCGCAAATGATCGCTATATGACAAACGATTATTGTCAATAATTTCATAGTTTACTGCACCGTCATGTAGTGACGTAATTTTATAGTTACAGTCACGGCAGGTGCTAAATCAATTTACATCAGTGGTACACGCTGCCTAATAGTCTGATGTATCTTCTTGTCTCATTTTTTGATGAAAATGATCGATGACCCGCTATCGATAAGAATACTTCTTTTTTATGTTTAATTGTTGAATACGTGCCTCCAAGCATGTAAGTAATCTCGATATTTGAGAACTACGCCCCAGTCCCTGATGAGTCTTCGTGTTTCATCGACAGGATTTCGCTCGGTATGGCTCATGATGTTTCGTTCCACACGTGTCGGGAGTCGTATGATGGGCAAGGAGATAATGTTGCTTTCGACTTCGCGTAACATCATTGTTAAGTACGATTGAGTCGCTTTAAGAGCTTGTCGAATTTGAGAGTTAGGCTCGTCCTCGACCAATTCCTCGAAGGCCACGGCAAATTTCTGAAGGTCCATGTGCAACTTTGGGAAACAGTTAATAATCTGCAAAAACAGTTATTACAGAATTATTACTTTGTTTTAAATATTTAAATATTTAAATATTGGTAAAACCGCTCACTCTTAAGCTTGCTCATTAATATTTATATGATTCGCTTCAAGATATTATTAAACTTTGACGTAAAGATAATCGATAGCATCACTTCTTTTCTTGTCAACGAACTGTTAATGTCGACTGTAAATATTGCTCCGTTAGAAATTATTCTATTATCCATATAAATATTTATGAAGATTTCATGTAATACTAATTTTAGTGCCGTTTAAAGAATTGAAATAAAAAATCTGGCAAAAGTCTTCACAGAATTATCTAAAGATCTAAATATATAAATTTAGCTATACTCTTCTGAGCGCAAGTATAATAATTTTACTCATTTTTTTATCACATAGAATAATGATTTATTTCATTATGCATTTAAAAAATTTATCGAAGCAAATGTTCATTATATAATTTCAAAAATATTTTTTCTGATCACATACACAAATATAAAAGAGAAAGAAAATGTTAAAGGTATATTTTGAATACACATACTGAAAGAAAAGATTGGCTGCTGCAGCAAATTAAATGGTAAAATATGACATAGCATTTTTAATTGACTGCAGCAGTCAATTTTTTGTTGCAGCAGCTAATTTTTTGGTTGCATTAGCCTATTCGCAAGGTCAATATAGAATTATGATAGCCTAACGGAACCACAAATTGGCTGCTACAATCAATTAAAAATGCTATGTCATCATCAGCCACGTCTTTTCTTTCAGTGCAAATAATAGAAATTGTGAGTTACGTTAATCAAAGAAGAATTTTGCGATCGACGAAATCTAATTTCCCTTCGCGTTATCAGTAGTTGCAACTTAATCGCGTGATTAAGATCCCATTATAAAATCCCACTTTCCGAGAACGCGCAACTAAAACCCCAACAAAGTGCAACGCTGAGGATCAATGTTGTTGCAGTCTACGGCGATCGGGGCGTGGCAGAAAGAAGGAAGGGAGCTGCGTGCCCGAATGCCGACATCCGGAGAGTACCGCGGGTCGCGATATCAGCCTTGCGTTATCAGTGTGCTTGCATCGAGGAGGCAGACGAGCGCGATTACGCAGCCGCACGACCCGGCGAACATGAGTGCACACGTACGGTCGTGTTGCGCGCGCACTGCATGAAAGACCGCGCTCGCTCCTGCTCGCCTGCTACTTTATAATAATTACCGTCTCATTAAAATTTGTTATTTAACGTTGCGTTAATCAATTGCAACCGGGTGGTCAGCCGGCTAGCCGGTCGCTGAAAACGCGACGGAAGCCTGTAACACTATTCTCTCTTTCCTGTACACTCGTTATCCGTCTCTCCTCTGCACGCGGTAATATCTTGTACGGATTGCTCTTTTATTTCTGCTACACGGTAACGACGATTACGAATGATGAATATTAACGATCATAAAGAAACTAACGGCTTGAGACATAATGTTGCGAGCATTGACAATGAAGAAAGAATTGTTGTAGCAAAGAAGCTAATGTAGCTAACAATGTTGCAATGAGAAGTATTATTGTAATATCACATAAAGAATCTAAGAGAGAAAGAGAGAAGAATCTCGAGTAGAAATAAGATCTAATTTAGAAAAATTTATCTATAGAGCAACTTCCAAAGAGATTTTTACAATTGCAATATCTCTTGGGCAAAATAATGGCCAATTGAAGGCGCAATTAATGTCACGTATTTATGTTAAGAGTTGTTGATGGCTGAGTAAACCGTTTGAAACTCTTAATAACGGCAAAATCTAAGTTGCAGTCCGAAACATATACGATATAAACGAACAACAATGTTAATTGAATGATTGTACTCACCATTGGAGTACTAGCGTCGACTAGTTTTCTTATGAGATTCACATCCTTCTTGCCGGGTACCCAATTAGGTATGTACTGGTGGTCGTCGACGCCAATCCTAACTCTCTCATAGAGGTATTCGTAATCTCGAAACAAGTAATCGTTCATCGTCAGCTGATGTTGCAGCCTAAGACTCTCCAGACTTGTCTTCATTTCCTCGAGACTTTTCAAAGGGATGGCTCGTAAATCGAGTTCTCCACATGGTAGATGCCATATTGGTATTGACCCGGATATCTTTGGAGTCGCAAAAGCAACGGCCAAGATAGATGAAATTAAAATAATTCTCTCGAGGAACATGTTTGAATTTATTGTCGTAAATTTTTCGCAGTGATGATCTTATCGAATCGGTTTGGAAAAATGATAATGATAAGGCACTGAATGATATTCTCGATCGACGTGAGATCGTGAACTAAGATTGTCAAACTCTCGTGCTTCCTCCTTATATATGGGATTGTGTAAACAATCGTACATACGCACGCATGTTTGACGTCTCGTGCGTCGGTGAAGCAACTCGAGCAGCTAAGGTTTTATCCATGTTTTTTTTTATTGTATCGCCGCTAGAATTCTAGAAATTAGTCACAGGATTCTCTCTGAAAGTAGACAATAATCTCTTTTATTGAACGATACCTTTTTTTTCCAGTCAACATATCGCCGATAAATGATACGATGATTAAGAAGTGAATCTGACAATTTAGAATACTGAAAAGTAGCTGTTTTTTGCGAATTTTTTATGAACAAACCATAAAGCCGATCTTTCTAAAATTTTAGAGGTCATTTGTTATATATTTCAACAATACAAAATAATTTTTTAATATGAAAATAATGAATACAATAAGCAGAGTCCGGATTATCCGCCGACGTACCAATTCGAGTCAACATTCTTCACAAGTCTCCCCACTCGCCAAAAGCCGCGGAGCAACAGAGCGATGATGAGTCTGATGAGGGATGGAGGGGAAGACGGCTAGTGATTGATTACGTTCTCAGAAATCTTAGATGTTATCTGGGCTATTACAATTATTATTGTCTAATAATAAGTTATATTAGGTGTAATAAAAAGAAATCCATTATTTTTCCATTCAATTTCATGCAAAAATAATGGATTTCTTTTTACTACACCTAATATATTAATCATATTGTGCTTCAGCACAGATACCGCTGTATATCTATAACATCAGACCTATTTCTCAGGCTATAACTATAAAAGTATTTCGAATTTCGATCTAAAACTTTATGAGTATATTTTTAAAGAGTAATATATATCGATAATAGTATTGATTAAAGCAAAAAAAAAAATTAAAATTTTGACCTTCTAAGTCAGGTTTTTTCCTTAAATGTTTGATATGTAACGATTCATTGTATAGCATTCTTTTACTAATAATTTATTGATTAATAAAATTAATCTGCGAAATTATATATATATATGTCTTAATTTATGTCGATTAATTATAATTATAATTATAATTATAATTTATACATATATTTCATTTTATAGTTTATTATTTTATAAACGCATATATTAATGATTTATACATCATAGATCTCTTGTGTAACTATCCAAATTTATCTAAATGACGTGTTCACTTAACAGTGACCAATAATTTCTATTGGTAATGCTTTGTAGATCTCGCCTGTATATATAGATATAGTATATATAGATGTTCCGATTTTCCTCGAAACATGAACGGTACTTGTCGTCACGCATTTATTGGCGTCTGCATGTACCTTGAAAGTACGCACAATTCTGTCAGAAATCTCTTGGATGCTGCGCGCACTATTCAGACGCAAACACCGTTGTATTTGCATTGTGAATCAATTGGGAAAGCCATGTCGTCAAACGGATTATTAGAGACCCGTGATCGAAATTTCGTCATACTTAAAATAGTTATATCTATATGTATAATAAGTCTAAATCATTATTGTGGAAAAGGTTCGTTACTATAATTGGAATCGAAAAAAATGAAGTTGAAAAATATTTATAATAAAAGATATCGATCTTCAATGTTTATTGCAATTTTATTTTGAGACACAATATGTGATTTCAAAAAATTCAATACATGTAATGATAGATAAATTTAAAAAAAAAATTATGTATGATAAAAAATTTACTGTTACTGTATATACAGCATTTTTATTC